CTTTAGCTGAGACTTCAGGGAAGCTAGAAGGCTGAGATGAGGAGGGAGAAAGTTACAGATAGTAAGGACTGCCAGTTAAAATGCTCAGCTGTCAGATGGAGAGTTGTGTAAGAGGAACAAAGAAGCCGGTGTCACTGGTTCACAGAATATATTGAGGGAAGTGAGAAATAAGAAAACCGGAAAAATAGAAAGGGGCATCAGTTTCTGTTATGATTTGGAGAATCTCACACCTGGGGGCATTCAGACCTGGAGAAATGCAGGTAGATATGGGAGTCTCCTTCTGGATTAGTGTTCAATTAAATGCATTCAGCAGGGTAGTTGTAAAGATGGAGGTGCAAGTCTGTAGAACTGCCCAGGAAAAAGAGTGGCCCAGGTTTCTAGGGGTGGGAGACTGGGGAGTAGAGGGACACAATCAAGCCACATGAAGTAATGGAGGAGAGAGAGAGAGAGAGAGAGAGAAATTAAATTCCTTTAATTCCAGTGATAGTCCTATTACCAGACTCATAAATATAAACTGCCTTCTCTTACTCAGTATTGATGGCTTTGCCATGCCTATTGCTTGATTAACTGACTACTTTATTTTGGGTTACTGAATTTCTTTGAAGAATAACCAAGGAAATTAGATATAGAAAAAAATATTAGTTATTGTTAGGAAGAAAAAAAGAGTTGGGGAGACTAGAGAGTTGAGGAAGCTGGCAGTACAATAGAGTAGCCTAGAGTCAGGAAGACTTGAGTTCAAATTCAACCTCAAATACTTACTGTGTGACCCCAGAGAGGTCACTTAACTTCTGTTTGACTCAGTTTCCTCAACTGTACAATGGCATCTACCTCACAGGATCAAAAGATAGTATTTTTTTTAAAAAGCATTTAATGTTTTTAAATGCTTTTTTAAAAAGCTGGCACATAGTAGGTACTATATAAATGCTCATTCTCTTCCCCTTCCTCCCTTGTTGAATGCCAATGGTGTACTTTCATACATCATACCTGTGGGCTTATACAGAAATTGGTTTGCCAGCATTTTGTTTTAATATCATGATTATATACTTGGCTGCAGTACTCAAATAGTATGGAGCCTTGAAAAGGGACATAAACAGGGTAATCACGTAAAAGTGTCATTTATGTTAACACAGATAGTACACATCACCATGCTCCCTGTCACATCCTGGATGATGTTTCTCTTGAGGTCAATTTGGAGATAATATAGGAAAAAAGCTCTAGCCGCAATTGTGCTAGGTGAATGTGGGTACCTGTGGCAATAAAATAATTCTCCAGGTGTATTCCTAAGCAAAATCAAAGAAGAGGGAAGAGCTGAAAAGTATCCTTTTTGTTTTTCCTCTTTGCCTGGGAAGCAGCAGGGATGTCAAACTCAAGCAGAAATGGGAACCACTAATCTTCACAAAAGAATCCCTACAGGAAGCATAATAACTTAGAAAACCACATAATCACATTATCTATGTTCTAGCAGGGATGGGGAACCTGTGGCCTTGAGGCCACATGTGGCCCTCTGCATCCTCAAGTTTGGCCTTTTGAATCCAAACTTCACATAACAATTAGGTTGGATTCGGTCAAATAGCTGCACTTGAGGACCTAGAGGGCTACAGGTTCCCAGCCCCTATTCTATTGTATTTTTATTTGTTAACTATTTCCCAATTACATTTTAATCAGGTTCAGCTGCTGTTTGACACTTCCACTCTAAGGATTTCCTCCAAATGAACTATTGAGCTTAAATTTTTTCAATTTGAACTTGGACACTTTTGTAGTTATAAAAGTCATTGTTGATTTTCTTGTTAAATTATACTAAACCAACAGTCTGTCATAATTTGGACCTTGTTTTATCTGTTAAACACATTTCCTTTCAGATATTACAGGCAAGTTTTACTATGGAATGAACAGCCTGAAAATATAAAATTATATTGAGTTGGTAACTTGAAGAAATTTCTTCACAAAATAAAATGGGGTAGTAAAATTCAATAGAGCTCGCAAGAAGAGTTTCAAAATTCATTCTTATTTTCCCTTAATATCAAGGATCCTTCCTGTAAGTTTTATGGATGAATAAAAGAAATAGAGTCCATAATTTTTATATATTATTTATATACATTAGAAATATGTGTTTATTACTTTATACATAAATATATTCTGCATAATTATAAAGTATACACACACACACACACACACATATATATATACATTCATATATCCATACATGTACATAAACACACACACCACCCAAAAAAAGTATGGTTACAGCTACTTACAGCCACAATTCAATTTCAATTTTCACTGCAATTCTCTGTCCTCCCCCCAACCCCAATCTTATAAAACAGTAAAGTGAACTACATAAAACTAGCCATAATGATGCTTTCATGATCCTGAGTCACCTCATGATTCCTTTCAGCAATTCGAAGTACTTTTCCACTTTTGCTACATAAAATGTCTCACTATCTTGCCAATGAGTTTTGGAAACTTTGGGAGGTTGGGTTTTTTTTTTTTAACCCCTCCACCCCCACCCCAAGAACTTACCTATCTATAAAATTTTCTTGTAAAAGTCAAAGTTTATTAATCAACTGTGGTTTTCCCTTGGAAAGACTTTTCAAATTTTGGATTCTGATTTGATGAAAAATCTCGTTTTCCCTTCAAGGAGTCTTTTCTTTGCTGTTTTTCATCTTCTTGGTTACTTACTAGTATAAACTGAATAGTTCCTATGACAAAAGTAACTACTTGCCACTAGAAAGGTACTTTTGTTAAAAAGGTATTTTGAGTAGCAACAAAAGGAGTGGGGGGGGCAGGACAAAGAGAGTGCGGTTAAATACCACTAGATTTAAATGCTTTGAGGTCAGGTACTTATTCATCTCTGAGTAAATTCATTTACCTGTAGTTTGACTCTAAAACACTGTTTAAGGAGCTATTGCTACCTAACAAACTAAGTATTTAGCTTCTTTGGTCATCTGAAAAATTCTATTGGAATTTAAGTCTTAAGAAATCACAGATACAAAAGAATTCCTTGAAAATTTTCAGTAGGGAGAACATACCACGGCTATGTCTCAAGTCTTTGAGAGTTGGCACTGAGTCTGATCAAGACAAGACCTGAAGGTTTCAGTTCCAAAGGATAGGGGGTGTGTGTGTGTGTGTGTGTGTGTGTGTGTGTGTGTGTGTGTGTGTGTTTGAAAAACTTGCCATGCAAAACTAATAAGTATTTTCCAGCACTAAATGAGATGCTGGCCTCTGGACTAATTGACTAGTACTACACACTCTGCCAAATGAGCTTTCCTACTTCATAGGAGGTTAGATCTAGATTACACTAGATTATTTATTATATTTCCATCAGCAGTTATTACATTGGATTTCCATCATGACCTGGGGTTCAAATTCTATCTTAGGCCTCTAGTAAAAAGACAAAGAATTACGGCTTTTTATTTTCTTTCTCTTTGCAGCTCTTTACTCTCATATAGTCTTAATACATGCACATGTGTGGAGAAGAGAAGAGAAGAGGACTGCTGGAAATGTGATTTCATTGGTACAAGGAACTCTTCCATTAGGAAATCCCCTATACCAATGCTGATCAGCACCTTCTCTTCTATCCTCTGATAGTATTCTGGACCTAAAACACTGAGAAGTTACTTGACTTGGCTAGAATCACATACCATGAAGCCCTACAAAGAGATGTTAGCTAAAGTTTACTGATGATAACTATACCCAGTTGAAAAATTTTTGTGTTCTAACTCAAAATAATAGCACCCTGGCAGAGCCATACAGGGAAGCATTGTAAAAAAAAAAATAAAGAAATAAAAGTTAATGCTGGAATGAATTTTAAATTTCTAGGACAGTGTTTAATTAGGTCTCATCATCATTTCAATGAAATCTTTATACGTGTTTATTAGTGTCCTAAAAAAGGTAAACGATCTATAATCATACTAGCACTCAAATCAAACATCTATATTACAATTCAGAATCTTTGACAGTGCCATATATGAAAGCTTACGCAAAATGAGATTAACTTTGAAAATGGATCAATTTAAAATGATGCTTCCTTATATCCGGATGGATATATAGATGGGGGGGTGGGGGAGAGATGGATGATAGATGACAGGAATTTATCCATTACCTTTACTGTCACCCAAAATTAACTTGAATAATTTATAGTTCACTTATATAAATGTTTACAAATTGTTACAGCTGGGGAAAAGTTTGACATGCACAACATATACAAACATATATACATATGTACAAATATGTACCCGCATATATCATATTTCTTTCTGAAAATATTCTGGTTTAAAATATTACAACACTATTAAAATAAATCCTACCATCCAAATATATTAACTGGCTGCCAAAAACGAGGAGTAGTAAATGACATATTACACGTAGGCAATACATTTACAAGCTTCGTCTTTTGCAGATAGCCTTTTGTCAGAAATATACAGTATGGCCAGGCAGGGTCAGTTGGGGAATACACCAATTCCCTAGAGAAAAGGCAGCCTCCCCCACCCAGCTCTGAACTCACTCCTCGCAGGCGCCCCAGGCAACCCCCCGGGGTGCGGTGCAGGATGCTGACCCCGAGGGCGCGTCCTTGGCCGGCTCTCCAGGACATCTGCAAGCGGATAGATGAGGACACGGGACCGGCACCCCGGATAAGCCTTAGGTTCCCGTCGGGGGCCCCTCCACTCCACGGCCACAGCTCTCTAGATCTCCCACCGCCGGCTGTGCGTAGCTTTTCCCGATTCCCGCTGGCTGAGGCTAAAGTTTGTCTCCGGGAGACAAAAAGAAAGGTCATTTGGGGAAAGGGAGTAGGTCGGACAAGATGGGAGATGGGGAGCAGAGGCGTCCAAGAAATACTCCTATTTTGAGGGTTTTAAGGGGGGAGTGGGACGCACAACACCCCCACCGCCCACCCACCTGCCTACTAGAGAGCTATGAGCTTTCGCAACTTGGCGGAAGCCGAGTCATCTCATCACGTGGGGAGCTTGATTGCCTTAAAATTGAGAGGCGGCCAGAGGCATTCAGCTAGTTCCGAAAAGCCAGAGCAGGAGCAAGAGTGACTGGAAAGCGAGAGGACTTTCCCTGCTGGCAATCGCTCCGCCCTCCGCCGTGATGATGGAAAGGATAGCGTGCTTGTTAGCCTTCGCGTCTTTAGCGCTGACTCTCAGCGGTGCAGGTGAGTCCCCGAGACGCTCCTTGGGTGCTCAGCGGAGCAGGATGGGCTCAGGTTGCCGCTCTGCCTCCATCATCCCCGGGTCCCTGCGGCTTGAATACTCTTCGGTTTGGGCTGGAGAGTATCACGCGTTCCATTTATTTTTACCAGCCAGGTTGCCAAAATATTACCATTTAAAGAAATTTCTCAGCTGTTTGCCTGGGTCCCATCATCAGGGGCAGGTCATTTTTTTTAAAGGGTTTAACATACTGGACCCAACCAAATTAGTTCGAGGTCCGGCAAGATGTTAATGGGGAGAGGAAAAAAAAAAGAAAATAATTTATATGTAAAATTTAGGGATGTCTTTTTTCCCCCAGAGTGGATGTTGCAGTTCTTATCCTTATTTAGATACAGACATTGGTCTAAGAATAGCTTAGCTGTTCCCTGTTCAGAATGACACAAATAGCCATTTTCCCTTAACTGCCTCTGTATGTTTGTAATTGTGAAATTGACCCATAATATGCTATAAAGCAAATAAGGTAAATATGAAACTATTGAAGGTACTGTTCACTTATTCAGCCTCCTTTCATTTTAGCAAACCCTTGCTGCTCAAACCCATGTCAAAACCGAGGTATATGTATGACCACTGGAACTGACCGATACCAATGTGACTGTACTAGGACAGGATTCTATGGAGAAAATTGTACAACTCGTAAGTTTTCGTTTTAACTTTAATGATTTTGAAATCATAGAGACAGACGCCTCAAGTATTCAATTGTCTCCTTTTTTTCCCCTCCCACTATTACAGCTGAATTTCTGACAAAGCTAAAATTGACGCTGAAACCCACTCCAGACACCGTTCACTACATCCTCACCCACTTCAAGGGAGTGTGGAATATAATCAACAATATCTCTTTTCTGCGGGACATGGTGATGAGATACGTGTTGATGTGTAAGTAACATAGCTTTTCTTCATTTTATTTTATTTTTTTAGGCAGTTAGGGTTAAGTGATTTGCCCAGGCTCTTCCAGTTAGTGTCAAGTGTCTGGTCTGAGGCTGGATTTGAACTCAGGTCCTCCTGACTCCAGGACCTGTGCTCTATCCACTGTGCCACCTAGGTGCCCCTAACCTAGCTTTTCTTGAAGGGCTCTGACAATCACAAAGAAAACTACAATATTATAGATTAGTAAATAAAGTTTCCAAAAATATACTTTCCAATTTTAAAAACAAAAATGATTGGAACACACCAGCCATAAGCCAGTTGAGCAGTAAATGGGTTTATTTTCATTTGTTTTATAAAAGTATAGCTTCCCTTTATTTCAAACCCTATATTAAAATGTGTATTTTAACATCTTATAGTTCACTCTTTTACTACTAGAAGTAGTAATTCAAACTTTTGGCCTAAAATTGTCACAGGTTTTTAACATTTTGTTATAGTTTTCTTTTTAAAAATAGATTAATACTGCCATTTCTGTGGATAAAACAAATATTTTTGAAAATGCTGCTTGTGGAAATATTTGACATATGTCTTCTCTTTAAATTTCAGCAAGATCACATCTTATTGAAAGCCCACCAACGTATAATGTTCACTATGGTTACAAAAGTTGGGAAGCCTTTTCTAACCTCTCCTACTACACTAGAGCTCTTCCCCCGGTGAGAGATGACTGCCCAACTCCAATGGGTGTAAAAGGTAAGACAAGGCCCTCAGATTCCATGAATTTAGAGATTTTTATCTGAGCTAGAAAATTAAACTTTGAAATACTATAAGGAGATTAGTTAGTCAGTTCGTAAAACTATCATCCCATTCCATTGTTTGGCATTCTTACTAAAATGTAGATTGATAACAGATTATCATTTGGTATAAACCATTCCATCAGATGAAGTTTCAGTGTAACTGAAAAATCACAAGTTCTGGAAAATTCCACTTTCATGAATATTCTGTTTAACTCTGCTTATTTGGAATTATTGACTGGTTTTAATGGGAGAAACTGAAAGAATGAATGCAGTTTGCCAATTATGCTATAATCTTCTTCCCAAAGTTTAATATCCAAAAACAAAAGAGTATCATAGGAAACATAACCCAAGTCTGCTTCCTCAAAAATATGAGATTATAAGCTAAGATTTTTCATTTTATAGGTAAAAAACAGCTTCCTGAACCCAAAGAGATTGTGGAAAAATTTCTTCTGAGAAGGAAGTTTATTCCTGATCCCCAAGGCACAAATATAATGTTTGCATTCTTTGCCCAGCATTTCACTCACCAATTCTTTAAGACAGACCATCACAGAGGCCCAGCTTTCACAAAAGCACTAGGACATGGGGTAAGTCCAGAGGACAAAGGGTTAAATCAGAATTATAGCAAATTACAGTAATTTAATAATTGCCCATCTTTATAAAAAATGTGATCTCAGTTTTGAGGGCATATAAAGGTTATATAAGCGGTGTGTTTCATGCATGTGTCCATTATCATAATTACTGCATCTCTCCCTTTGATGTCTATCTTAGTGGAATATTTCTATTTTTCACACTTTGGGGCATGATCACAGAATCACAGAATTCCCTGTAAAAGAATCCCATCTACAAAGTGCCCACCAAATGGTTTTTTCAGCCTTTGCTTGAAAAACTCACTTGAAGGAGATAAACCCTTCCCAACCTCCAGCAAAGCAACCCTTTCCAGTTTTGGCTAGCTTTGATTGTTAGGAAGTTTTATTTGGGATTTTTCCTTATATCAATCCTAAATTTGTCATTCTGCAACTTTTACTCATAGCTCCTACTTCTACCCTTGGTAGTTGCTTCCTCTGGCTTGTCCTAAAGACTTTGTATTTCAATTTAAAATGTCTGTCCTTCCCAAAACTTGCCTTCAAGTATATTCAGTACCCTAACTGTCATCCTTTAAAATAACTATTCCATTTGAAAATGACTTCATATTCGACAATATTAGTGCAGTTATTCTAAAAGTTTAGATCATTGACATTTTTCCTTTACTTAATAGATCCTATGTAATTATGAAATAACAAGTTCATAAATTTGACCTAAGTTTCCACCTTCATTAGTAAAACAATTTAATCCATATCATTATAGAAGATAGTTATTAAAAATGAATTTCTCATGAGAAAAGTGATCATTGAATTTTTAAAATACACATTTTCTAATGGGTAATGATTTAAATGATAGCATAACAACTTTAACAATCAGAAAGATATGTTAGTAATGCTCCCGAAACTGGTACTTTATAAGCAAAAAGCAACCCCTTAAGCAGCAGCAAATTTAATTTTCCCCCAATTGTTTTTGTAGGTTGATTTAAATCATGTTTATGGAGAAAATTTGGAAAGACAACACAAACTGCGGCTTTTCAAAGATGGAAAAATGAAATATCAGGTATGTTTTGGTTAGAGAATAAACACTTGAATATTAATAATCACAGAGTTACAGTAGCACTAATGTATTATTAATTTTTTAAATTATACTTCCCACTAGCCTTAATAATGTTCCCTGTATAAATTTTATATATATATATGTATAAAATCTTAAACTTTAATCATTTTCTTCCTAACTTTTTGCTTTTTGTGTTTTTTTTTCTTTTTAGGTAATTGATGGAGAAGTATATCCGCCCTTAGTGAAAGATACGCAGGCAGAAATGATCTACCCACCTCATGTCCCTGAGCATCTGAGATTTGCTGTTGGGCAAGAAGTATTTGGCCTGGTTCCGGGTTTGATGATGTATGCTACAATATGGCTTCGGGAGCATAACCGAGTGTGTGACATCCTTAAACAGGAACATCCTGAATGGGATGATGAGCAGTTGTTCCAGACTAGCAGACTGATATTGATTGGTACGTCACATTTTTTGCATTATATAATACAATAATATAATAACATAATATACATTATGTGTATATTAGATGAGTAAAGATTGATATCAGCTTCCTTACCTTTGAAGAAAAACTTTGTTAAATTCAGCTTATTCTGAAGAATCAAGGGGTATGCCACAAGAGATTATTATGTTCTATATGAATTCAAATGGAATAGACACGCTTACTTGTTTTCTCCTATAATGATATATTCAGTAAATACTTTTTTCAATCCAGACGTGATTATGCTGGTATAGGAAAGACCCCAATGAGGAAGTTCATTCTGTCAATGCATCTTGTTCCTTCTACTAATGCAACTGCTCTTCAATTTGTAGTCTTATAAAGTCTGCTCAGACACTGAGATGTTAAGTGATTTGCCCAGGATCATACTACCAGTTTGTGTCAGAGGCTATAACTGAACCCAGATCTACAGACAGCTCCCTATTCCCTCTACCACATTGCCTCTAATTGCATTAAATAAAACAGTCCATTTTATTTTGTTCAGTAAAATGGGGTAAGGCACATCAAATAGAGGAGATGGGAAAAACAATAAGGAAACCATCCTGAAGCTTTCTCCTAAGGCTAAGGATCTTTGACATTTTCTGAGAGAGACAGAGATGCTCACTCTTAGTATTTTGGTTTAATCATGTTGGTTTAATTTTGTTTTATGTAAATAGGCGAGACTATTAAGATTGTGATTGAAGATTATGTCCAACACTTGAGTGGTTATCACTTCAAATTGAAGTTTGACCCAGAACTGCTGTTCAACCAGCACTTCCAATACCAAAACCGAATTGCTGCTGAATTTAACACCCTCTATCACTGGCATCCTCTACTCCCCGACACCTTCCAAATCAAGGACAAAGAGTACAGCTATCAGCAGTTCCTCTACAACAACTCTATATTACTGGAACATGGAATTTCCCACATGGTGGAATCATTCTCGAGGCAAATTGCTGGCCGGGTAAGGAACTGATTCAAAACTTTTGTAGTTTGCAAGCTCCCTAATGCATGTATAGCATTATTCTTGTATCCCATTATTCAAGGGATAATTACATTTCCTATGTGATTACTTTGCTTTTCTTAAAATCAGAGGAAAAGTTCTAAAAGAGTTTAGTCTAAAAAAGACTAAAATAAACTGAAAACCATGACTATCCAAATTTGCATATCTTAGCAAAGTTTTCAGCTTTTAAAAGAACTTTCTTTAATCTCACTACAGACATTACTAATTTAAACACTGATTTCATTTATGTAAGCATAAAACATCTAAATTCATTCTCAACTGCCCCTTTAAGATTGATGCAAAACTCCCTACTGAAATTTTCCTGTTTGTTTTTTTTTTCTGAGAAAAAGAAAATAATACAACTTTTATTCAAGGACTGTGTACAATGAATATTCTCAAAATAAAACTGTATTGTAATTTACTTAATATTTTCATTTATATTATTATTTTTTTTTCAACAGGTTTCTGGGGGCAAGAACGTTCCAGCTGCAGTACAGAAAGTTGCCATAGCTTCAATTGACCAAAGCAGACAAATGAAATACCAGTCTCTTAATCAATACCGAAAACACTTCATGCTCAAGCCTTTTAGTTCATTTGAAGAACTGACAGGTAAAAAGAAATTGGGGAAAATATTAAGTGACAATCATGGTGGAGATAGACATATAAAATGCTAATTGGTGAGATTTTCCACGTATTGAATCCATCTCTTTCACATTACAGGAGAGAAAGAAATGGCTGCTGAGCTGGAAGCCATCTATGGTGATATTGATTCTATGGAGTTGTATCCTGGTCTTCTAGTAGAAAAACCTCGCCCAGGTGCCATCTTTGGAGAAACCATGGTTGAACTTGGAGCACCCTTCTCACTCAAAGGACTCATGGGTAACGCCATCTGTTCCCCTGACTACTGGAAGCCTAGCACTTTTGGTGGAGATAGAGGTTTTGAAATTATCAATACAGCCTCAATCCAGTCACTAATCTGCAATAATGTAAAGGGATGTCCCTTCACTGCATTCAGTGTTCAAGATTCCCAAGTCACCAAAACAGAAACTATTAATGCCAGTTCATCAAATTCTGGACTAGATGACATCAATCCCACAGTATTGCTAAAAGAACGTTCAACTGAACTGTAGATACCTATTGAACATATTTATTTATTTAAGTAAAGTATTTCTTTAAGTTATCTATTTATGAATATTTGTATGAAACTCCCTGTGTTACTTGATATCTTCTGTAACAGAAGATAGTAAGTACTCCTCTGTTGGAGAAATAATTCATGTAAGTGGGAATTTCATTTGTGTTGATACTTTAAAGACAAGGATGTCCTTCTTAAGTTTCAGAGGGAAACATTCTTTTTGTTCCTTTTGATAAATTAGATTGTGTTACAGCAAGAAAAAATATAAGGTATTTATTTGATCTTTGTTATTGCTATTATAATATTGAAAAGCTCTGTGAGTAACTACACTACCTTCTTAAAAGATCATATATATGTAGCACCTCTTTGAAGCTTGAAGTGCTCTAACATGTTTTCAAATTCAAAATTTGTATCACGTGAAAATATTATAAATTGTAAGAACTGAAAATATTCAAGCAGCACCAAAACATCAAAATCATGGGCTCATGGATATAGACCTGGAAAGGACCTCAGAACTCACCTAATTCAGTTCCCTCGTTTTACAGAGGAGGAAACTGAGGCCCAGGGAGATTAAATGACTTGCCTCAGGTCAGTCGCACAATGAATAGCAGAGCCACTCTATAACTCTAAGGTTAGCACGCTTTCTACTGTACCATGCCAAAAAGCATCCATTTTAGACTACCGAAGGTGTAACTGAATTGGAAACCATTGAAATTTCCTGGCTAATATAACTAACATTTCCTCAGGGTGTAAATCAAGGTACACTCTCAGGTATCTGAAGGTGCATATGAAATTTTGATTTGTTCTCACTACGTTATACTGCCATTTAAAAATATCAGACGAATCTATTTGAAACTATGGTAGTATCTTCCTTTGGAAATATCAGAATGGCAAGGCCAACAAGAGAATCAGCTGTGAAGTCACTGGAAGAATATCTTGCCTTAAAATAGCATCTTTTATCTAAAAATGCCCTAATCATTTTTATATTACTACCAATAAACAAAATATACATGGGCAATAGATGGGAAAACTTCATTATAATTTATTTTAGAGTAAGTACCTGCAAGACAGGAATATTATTTCTTCAAATTGTTGTGTATAATAGACAGCGCAATGTCGTGTGCTTCAGACTGGTCCAGAGATATTTTCTTAAACATGATCAATTACAAAACTGGATTTGGACAGAAAACTGAGAATCTTATTCTTATATTTTTATAAAAACTTTGTTTTTTCCAATTGGCTCATAGTACTATTTAGCAGTCCATATTACAAGTCAACCTCCTTAGGAGGATTGTATTTGATATTCACAAATTCATTTTATCTGCTTAGTTATTTCCACATCTTTTTGACTTACATATCAGTAGGGACACCTTTTGACGTCCCCACTATCTGCCACATTTGCTGCTTCTTTGTTCAGTTTTTCGTTGAACAAATATTTTATTGATAGTTTGATGGAACATTCTTGCCCCCAGCCACCTTGCTATTTGCAAGATGTAGGGTTTGTGTAACCTTCCTTCCTGTTGCCATATTGCTAAAGTAAACTTTCCTCTTTGTGTCTTCCTTATCTAATCTTACATTCCCAGTGTCTTGTTAGGTCTAGATTCTCTGTTTATTACTTCTTTCTTTCTTTCTTTCTTTCTTTCTTTCTTTCTTTCTTTCTTTCTTTCTTTTTCTTTCTTTTTCTTTC